CCATCTTCTGGTTCATCCTTGTCTACCTCGCCTTCCTCTCCTACTTTTTCGATGCTGGGTAGTTTGACTTCCGGCACCTTAACTTCAGGTGCCCTAGCCTCATGTACTTCATCCTCAGGCACTGGACCACCTTCCGCTAGCTCGCCTTCTTCTCTTTCGTTTTCTTTCTCCTCTTTTTCCTCCCTGTTACCACCTTCTACCTTGACGTCCGGCTCTTCCTCTTTCACTTCGCCTTCTTTAACATCAACATCGACCTCGGCTTCGCCTTGATCATCCTTTATTTCACCCATTAGCATCTCCTCTTCGGCTTTGTCTGCGTGATCATTGATGTGGTCCTGAACGGTCTTGTCTTCGTCGTATTTCTCGTCAGTGTTCTCGATTTCATTTATGGTCTTAAGAGGTTGTGGTGACAAGTGTTCCTCAGTGTTGGTGGGAGTAGGGCTAAAAGCGCTGTCAAGCTCATCCATAGGATGCTTCACCAGTGTTTCGGGCTCGGGTACATTTTTCTGGTACTGAGCTCTCTCTGGCTTCCGCGATCCCTTCCTTGAGCCTTTTCTCGATATCTTTCTTGCCATCGTAAAATGTGCAATTGCGCAACAGTGCTGGTTAACCGTACGTGTAGTAAACTGGCAAAGCGGGAGGCAGGCACATTTATGCCGGCGGGTATCCTCCGCGTGGGTCAATCACTGCCCTCCTTCATTCTCCCCACCCTTCTCAACCGTGTGCTGCCGGCGCTCGGTGACCTGAGCCTGTCAGCTGGGACGCGTCGTACCCGTCCAATCCCATTTAGGAAAGAATGCAACGCCGGCTCGAAGCTTACTGCTGCGGGGCGACCGAGACCACGTGCTGGTCACGAGAGTGTCTACGATGCCGGTATCTCGGAAGTGTCCAAACGATCAGTAGTGTGGTGGTGTGTGTCTGTGGTGACCGCATTGGATGCTTGCGGGATGTTGGGAGGAGACAGTTAGGGCAGTTTCAAAATTCGGAAAATGAGGGGAGATGCTTCAAAGGCCTCATGGAAAGGAGGACTGGGGGTGGTGCTTGCTGCATTCATTGATAGGCACGGTGGGTTGTCTACGACGAAGGGGTGTGGCTTTTACCGTGTGACGGTTGTGGTGCCGGACGAGTTGGTCCACGAGAACGACCAGCTACTTGAGTTGATAGTGGCCTCGAAGACGGACGGGTTGGATGATCCTGACTACAATATTTTCAAGTACCCGAACAAGCTGCAGCTGGCACCCGAATCGGAATTTAACCGACGTCTTGATGACGCGGTCTTGGACCAATTTGTTGAGTTCATGTGTCGTAGTATAATTCGTCACAGTCGCGGCAAGTTGAGCAAGAAGCTGCGTAATCGCCTGGTGACGGAGGTGGCTGCGCTGCACGGGTCGAAGCTACAAGGGGTGTCCATGGAAGAGGATTCCGTCCCAGCAGAGGACGCCGCCGGCCCCAGCGGTGATGCGGTCCCGGATTTGGGTTCACTGGAAAGTCTCGTGGAATGTCCAGCGAAGGAGACCCGTGTACCCCCAGGGGAACAACGTCCGGCGAAGGATTCAAGGAGGAGTCTAAATGAGGTTCCTGTGGAGAAAACTCCTGTCGACCTTGCAGTAGAGGAAGGTCTACTCAAAGTTCTTTTATGTGAACCAGCTTCGGAATATGAGTTCTGGGTGAGTGATAGGCTATGGAAGTTGGAACATCCTGAGGACGAAGTTGTGCCGGATGAAGTTGTTGAAAAAGCCCCTTCAGCCATTGATGAGAACGTCCCTCAGCCGCGCTCCCTCCGGATGTTTGGTGGCCTTCAATGGTTCAGTCTAAGGGATTTTAGCTTTAATAAGTTCCGCCTTGAGAAGCTTCAGCCGTCTAATGTGATCGAGCGCATCCGTTGTAAAGTGGCATCCCTGCGGCAATGCATGGAGGACAATCCGAAGATGACCGTGGTCGTGGCGGCTGGAATGCTTTCTGGCCTGGCTTTGTGCATGTCCTGGCATCATCGGGTATCCGTAAAAGAGGTGGCGATACCGACCATCAATTCCTTGGTCTGCGAGCCGAGCACCGGCTTCGGCGACCAGTTCGAAGTTTGGCCTTCTTTCGAATGTCTTCCGACCCGGCGCCCGTGCGATTGCCGTTCGGGGTTGGACTGCGAGATCACCGACATGATGTGCCAGAGTGCAACAGGACCGATGCACGTGTCGTGGGGAATTCCCAAGAAAATAAGAGGGTCAGACGAACTATTGAAATGGCTGGCGTGTCGAGCCCGGGCAGCAGACTTCGAATTCGAAGGCCCAATCACCACCACCCTCTCCAATCCTGAGGTCGTCGGCACTGAGGGCTTGCGCTTCAGCCTCACTGTTAATAACCGCGACGGTGCCACTTTCCGCCACAACGTGGTCTGCTGTCCAGACGGCTGCAGACCATGACCACCTTCATTTCATCAACTTTTTCACTTCGTCAATTTTCCTTCGTGATCTGGAGTCACTCTAGCTATTAAGCTCTCGGGTAAAGGGCTCTGGGGTAAAGGAGTTCGTGCGTCATTCTGTGTGGTGCTGGGTGACGCACGTGCACAGACAGAAATAACCAGCGAAAGAAACATCTTCGGCACTAGAGGCGCTGGCCTGTTTCAGAACACCCTTCCACCATCCAAATCAATGCGGGGAATCAAACCCACAACATGGTGCTGGACATTGCCCTCCCAAACAGTAAAAAGATCAAACTTCCACGAAGTGGCTGGCAATGCATACTTCCCTGTCGCCACAATTATCCAGCCTAACTGCTGGCAGCCTTCCTCCGTCTACTGCGTATTGGCGTCAACCGTTTTGTCCACTTACACGCGTTAGGGTTAGGTGTTCGTTGTCGACGGTGACACCGGACCTTCTGAACTGGGATGACGACGTTCTGATGGTGTTTATCCTTTACCAACACTCGACAGTGGGATTCTTCATGGTCAGGCAGCTTACGCACGCCGACTTGATACCAACAGGCAACGTAAGTGTTTCATGCTCTCACTCCATTTAGATAGTTTAATTTAATTGTCGTGCTTTAAAAAAAAGACAATACACAAGGGCCGGCTGGGACTCAATCTCGCTTCAAGAAACTGTGGGGCAGGCACGGTGTTCCAGTGGGTGTGGCAGCACCGGGGCAAACCACACGTCGTCCTTTTGCCCCTTCAGTAGCCCTTCGCCCCTTCAGTAGCCCTTCGCCAATAGTTTGCGTGTCATGGCGCAGGTGAAAAAGGGTGGCCGTAACCTCGATCAAATGCCAACGGTGCAGTACACATGTGTCGTCTCCCACAAGAACAGGGCTGGAAGGTTCAAACGAGGGACCTGGAAGTCAGTGGCAAAAGCTGGGAGTCGTCAGTGGCAGGCATCGACCTGAAAACCGGTGGTTTGCACGACGAAAAAATTAAAGCGAAACGCTAACGACGTATCTTGAACGTGGCCGTGTTGTACTTGTGGTACATTCTGTAGAACTGGTTGTTGATCGCATTGGTAAGTCTCCACTGGGCCCACCTGTCATTACTCGTGGCCTTGGGGGCACTGGACCACACCCAAGGGGCATCCTGAGACCTCTGCTCTAGGATGCTCTTTTCGAACTCTTCGTGGGCTCTGCCTTGATGGACGAGGAATACTGCGGAGGGGAACACACTTCCCCGCCTATCCTCAAGTCCTTTGGTGTTAATTTTGTACTGCTGGAACATCCTGCGTCGATACTCGACGTCTTGGGTCCAGTACGATTTGGCTACATGAATTGCTTCTTTTTC